AACATTTTAAATATATCCCTGATAACATGACAATTAAGTTAAGTTTTAATATTGATGGCCTACCTTTAGCAAAGAGCTCAAAAACTCAATTTTGGCCTATTTTATTATCATTTACTAATATACCTATTTTTGTAAAGAAAATATTTCCTGTTGGTATTTATCATAGTTATAAAAGCAAACCAGGAAATGTGAATGAATATTTTAGACCATTTATAAACGAGCTACAAAATTTATTAACTTGTGGTATGAAAATTGAAAATAAACAAATAAACTTTGAAATTGTTCATATTGTGGCTGATGCGCCAGCAAAATCATTCCTATTAAATGTTAAGAACCATAATGGGTATTTTTCTTGTAACTCTTGTGAAGTAGAAGGAGATTACATTGATAAAAGAGTATGTTTTTTAGATATGTCTGCTCCGTCACGTAGTAATGATTCATTTAGATCTAAATCCAATCCTGAATATCACAAAGATGGTGTAAGTCCTTTATTAGAACTTCCTATAGATGTGACGAGCACCGTTGTTCTGGATTATATGCATTGTGTTTGCCAAGGGGTAATGAAACGCCTTCTTGAATTTTGGATACGGGGGAAAAAACCTGTTAGAATTGTAGAAGAAAAAAAATCTAATATTTCTTTATCTTTGTTCAATTTAAGAAAGTCAGTACCATCTGAATTTGCTCGCCTGCCAAGATCCCTTGATGATCTTGAGTATTGGAAGGCTACTGAATTTCGAGAAATTCTTCTATATACGGGGGTTATTGTATTGAGATCAAACTTAAAAAAAGAATTTTATGAACACTTTCTACTTTTAGTTGTATCCATTCGAATATTAATCTCAAATCATATTAGTAATGAAAATAATAATTTAGTATTAAACCTTTTACGACAATTTGTTGAAAACTATTCATCGCATTATGGTCCTCAATTTATCAACTATAATGTGCACAGTTTAATCCACTTACCATTTTTTGCTCATTTGCATGGATCTTTAGATAATTATAGTTCATTTAAATATGAAAACTATCTTCAGATTCTAAAAAAATCTATGAAGTGTTGTAGATACCCTCTTTCAGAAATTCAAAATAAAATAACTGCATCTGAAGGAGAAGAACTGATAGCAGTTTCGACTTATGATGAGGATAGTTTAATAAAATCTTTTAGGATAAATGAAAATATTTCAAATTTTGGGACCATTTATTATAATCAAATTACTTTAAATTCCAATAATTATATTCTTAGCTGTAGTAATACAAAATATCAGTGTATTATTTTAGATGATGGTAGTATTGCAGTAATAAAAAATATTTATAAGACAAATTCAAAAATTGATAACACTATTAAATTATCTGTTGTAAAAGTGTTAACCATTAATGATTTATTTATAAAACCAGTGCTCAGTAGACATGTTGGAATTTATTTAATTAATACTAATAATTTATCAAGTCCTTATGATATTGTTTTAAATACTGTAAAGTATAAATGTTTTTTTTCTCAGCTTGTTAATAATCAAGCTGTTGTGATTTCATTATGTCATAATGTTTGAAATAGTTTGTAGTTGTACAATGTATATTTTTCAATTTTCAAATATTTACCTGTATATTAATATTAAAATATATTGTATGTAATTTAAATTAAATAAGTATTAAAATGTATAATTATGTTTTCTAGATTTAATTTTCAATTCTATATTTTTATTTCAAAATCAATAATTTTTTGTCATTGAACTTGGGGACATATAATTACATTATTTATCCAACTATTCTGGTATTGAGCAATTAACGATTAATAGATAATGTAATATACTGGTGTATATAGTTTTTACAACCAATACCATATAGACTTGTAAGAATTTTTTCAGTTATAAGTGTTATCTTATGTCAGAACCATATATTATATAATTGTAAATAATATTAAGTTTAAGTTTTTTTTGTTCAACATACTAATAATCAAGCAATTGTAATTTTATTGTTTCTTCATTATGGACATTTATTTTAAAATAAACTTATTTATTTTATAAATTGGATTTTTTTATTTTATTTGTAAATTATATTTCTACTCATGTAATAACTGTGTATATTTTATGCAATTGTTACAAATACTTTGTATACATATCTAAGAATACGTGTATCCGTGAAAATTATTATAGTTATAATTAAGCATGAATAATTATAAATGTATATGAATATATTTCATTGGAGAGGTATAGTAGGAGGGAGGGGGGATCTGTTCCTATGAAGTTCTAAAAAAAACATATCGGGAACATAATATTTCAAACTTTTAATCAATAGTATCCACAAACATCCCAGGAATAGTTTTTGAAAAGTATTACTGGAGTGTTTCAAAAAAACCATTCAGGTAACATAAATCTGATTACAGTTACATTATGTTTTAAACAATGTTCCAAACAACATGGCATAAGGCGTTTCTGGAATGTATTTAGAACTCGCATGGAAGTTCCTAAGGAATATTCCATAGTTCCTTGGGAATGGTTTTTTTACATAACCGGAACGGCTTTTTGCACAGTGGGTAATCATGTTAATATTAGGTGAATAATGGACGATATTTAAAGAGAATAGAAATCGTTGATTTTCTGTCTTTACTATCACACGCGCACATTATGTAATATGACAAAGTGACTGATTTTTAACTTAGTTAAGTTCATTTTGCAACTTGTAATTTTTACAAGCTAACAAAAAATAAAGGTAACTTTTAACTTTAAACTTAACTTTTGTTTTTCTATATCAACTTAACTGAACGCGTTAAAAAAATATACTTTCCCAGCTTTGCCACTACTCATACTAGGTAGTGTAAGCAGGTACCTATGCCATATTATGTACCTAACACTATGATAAGTAGGCGTTAACATGCCAAGGTATGTCATGTACCTATGTGTTTATGTTTTTAAAAATATGAATTTAATATATACCGCATATACGTAGGTAAGTAGGTAGGTATAGGTATATAAAAACGTAAATATTTTAAATAATAAAAAAGGTTTTTGTTTATTTTATTAATTTACAATAGGTACAATAATTAATAATTTTACAAGTCAACAGTGATAAAATATAAGAAGTACCTACATTACATATTTTTATTTAAATTTAAAGTACCTAATGAAACAAATACAAATTCATGCTTTAAAATTAGTTATGTATTATTAGTATAATAGATATACACACCACGACTACATAAATAATTAATACAACTTAAAGGTTAATTTCAAACTGTATGACATAAACTAATAATAACTGCAGAATAATTTGATAGTTTTGCAATTAAACATTTATATTTTATATCAACTATATTGACACAATACATATCAGAAATGTTGTTTGTATTTACAATGTACATACCAACTATAATTGATGAAATTGGTTTAGCGGTTAGTTCTTTAGGTTCTAAATATTTTTTCACAATTAAAAATGCATCATGGTTCAATGGTTGTACTATTTGTTCTACAAATACAAGAGAGTTATCTAACAATATAATGCATTTATCTTTTTCATTTGAAGTATTAATGGTTATATTTGAGTAATTTAAAATTAATTTTTGATAAAGTTGGGCGGTTATATCATAGAAAGGATTAGGAATATTGTGTTTTATTTCTTTATTAAAAACATAAGGGACTTCATTATGGCAATGGTTAGTATGTTGGTTGTATATATTTTGTTTTTCTTTTATTCTATTGGATATTTCTTGCAAAGGATATCTTGCACATTTTAAAGTTTTTTTAATTTCTTGCAAATAATTTTCATATTGAAAGGAACTAAAATAATCAAGGGGACCATGAATTTTTGTAAACATAGGTAGATGTATAAGACTATGAACATTATATGATATATAATGTTGACCATACAAATCACCATAATCTATTACAAATTTCCTTAGAAATTTAAGAGCAATTGCATTGTATTCATAACATGTATTTAAACATAGTAAAATTCTTATTGCAAAAACCAGTAATAAAAAGTGTGAGTATAATTTTGTTTTAATTTTTCCTTTAAGTACAATTATACTAAAATAAAAAGCAAAATTCCTCAATTCAGTGGCTTTCCAAAAATGAATATCATCAAGAGATCTGGGTAATCGACAAAATTCTGCAGGAATGTACGATCTCAAAATAAGTAGCTCATTATTAATGCGTAGTTTATTTTCTTCAGTTAATCGAACATCCTTATTTCCATTTACCCAAAATTCAATCAATCGCTTAACAACACCTAGGCATACACAATGCATATAATCCAAGCATACAGTCTCAGTTATGTTTATTGGTAATAACTTTAAAGGAGAGTCACCTTTATGGTAATCTTCATCATGATTCATTCTAAATGTATTATCAGAGCGCAATGGTGAGTCTAACCCTAAAAAAACTACACGATTTTTTAAGTATGTTTCTTCTTCTGTACAACTTGTACATCCAAAATAGGCATTATGGCCTTTAACATTTAATAAAAAGGCTTTTGCTGGCGCGTCACACACAATATTACTAATTACAACTTTTAATTTAGTTCCTTTAATTAATAAACCCTGAGATAATACAACCGTTAAGTCTGATATAAAAGGCTTGAGAAATTCTTCAATAGACAGAGGTTTTTTGAATCCGTGATAAATCCCTATAGGAAAAACTTTGTTAGGCAGTTCTTTAAAATTTAATATTGACAGAAGTATAGGCCAGACTTGAGATTTAGAACTTTTAGCTATTGGAAGTCCATCAATATTTATACCAATTTTTAAAATATGGTCAGATATATTTATTTGAGCATTATGTTTTTCAAGAATTGGCAATAACATGTTTTCTACTCCAAAGTGAATATAAGAACCATTAGATATATTTTGTATTTCATGTACTTTAGGGGTTTTCATTAATGTTCTTTAGGGTGCCTGTTATTTATAGATGAACGATTTTTTTTCTTAAAAATACGAGGAGTGCTGCCCGGGTAATTTTTCCTATTGGTCTAAAAATAAGATCTGCACAATTTGAACTTTATATGACATCATTAACAGGGCGCGCTCTAAGCTCAAAGTTTAGAGAAAATGTACAATTTTTTAGTTTTTTAAATATTATCGCACAAGTTTTGGTTTTTCCTGAAAAGTCATTAGGAACTTTTTTGTAGAACTCGTTATTTACTAAAAAAAAGTGTTCTTATAATTTTTTCCTACACTCAATATTTTTTTGTAAAAATTAAAAAAACTAGATGAAATTAACATTTTGTGAAAAAATCCCGTTCGTATATTATAACTAGTTACTAAATTTTACACACGTATCAAGGCTGACGCCTAACTACATATTATATTAATTGTATATTTCAACAGATGGTTTTATTTTAATTTTAACATGATAATTGAAATAAGAATGATATACCTAGGATAAGACGCTATTATGTTTATTTTTAGATTAGAAAAACCTTTTTTATATCGGCAATGTAATCGCGTTAATTAAATAGATATCATTTAATGCTATCTGTAATAGTTTCGTTTTAACCGAGCACCGTTGAGTACTTCAATGTTTGCTTTTTTCTTCACAAGTAGTTTTAAATAGTTACCAATTAGTTATATTAAATTATTCATAATGTCATCATCCCGACAAGAAATTTATCTCGTAGGGCATCATAAGCACCAAATAACAGGTAGTAAACTACCATTAAATGGAGATTGTTTACAGGTTTTGTTTTATAACATGCGAATTGTTGGTTTTAACTTAGACACTAGTGCAAATTTAGTCATTGAAGAGTGTAATATTTTTTTGTAAAAATTAAAAAAACTAGATGAAATTAACATTTTGTGAAAAACACACGTTTTAATGTTTTTTGTAATTATCTCTCTAAATATTAAAGATACACAAAAATCATATACTACTAAAATTGACCTAATTTATTTTTACTAAAATATATGTAACCAAACAATTTTGTGTTAAACTAACTCATTTTGATTAAATTGAGAAAACATACAAAAATAACTTATTTTTCTGAAAAACAAATTTTATAAAAAATACTTTTGTTTTCTTGTATTTAAATATTCAAAGGAGTGGCCAAAGCATTTTTTGTTGTTTCAGGATACGTAGATCTATAGTCCTTGACTGTCTGAAATAATATTAGAAAAATCTAAGTTTATTTTGAGTACAATATATTTTAAGAATGTTTAAATTACTCACTTGTAACAAAAATTGTTTTTGAGTTTCGTCTCTCGTAATACTGTTATTATAATCTTCTACAAGTTTTACGCCCCTTTCAGCTGAATCGTTGACAATTCTTAGTTGTTCAATGATAGTTTTTCCTTTTTGGTAAGCACTTGAGTTAAACCATTCAGACGGATGAATATGCAAAAAGTTTTCAATTTTAAAACGCTGAAATATATTTGCCGATTTTTGACTTAACAGTGATACTAAAATTTCTTTATCTGGTTTGCTTAAAAATGTTGTTATTTCATTCATTTTTAAGTTCAATTTTTTCGCATGTACTTCAGGTTCATCGATATTGATTTGCTCGTTTATATTCTTTGCCATCATTACTTTTGTGTTAACATCTATACTTTCATCAAATAATGCAAATGCAGCACACTCTTCGGTTAAATAGTAAAGGTGGTTAATAAATTTACTAATTGCTACTTCTGATACATTTTTGTC